CCAAAGCGCCATGGTCCGGGACCTCACCATGTACATCAAGGGACCCACTATCCATATCAACCCAAACTCCCTGGTCTGGGTCCCCACCATCCACCTCGCCGCTGCCCCCTGCATGGTCCCTGTCCACAACCCCACAAGCATCGACGGCCATACTCTGCAAAACTTGATATGTCTCGGGTTATGCACAATATGTTTGGGCACCGTGTAAACAAAGGGAGGCAGATGAAACCTGATGAACTGTCCATTCACCAAACAGACAAAAAGAATCTGGGATCCAAAGGACACGATAAAATCAAAGCGTAAAAAAGGGTGACGTCTAAAGGAAATTCAAGTGAATGAAGGCTAAAATGTTTCCACCTGACGCCCAACAAACCTGGTCCTAAGATCCAACTGAAAACCAGCCTGAAGCCTCTGTAGGAGTTGAATTCAGGACTGCCATGTGAACGGCAAGATTGTCATCTTGTTTCAAGAATAAAGAGATTTTCTAAACATTCTGTCAAACTTTAATGTTCTGGATCACTTCAGCCTTATTAGAAACCCTCAGATCAATGTAACGTTAATACATTGGCAAATACGTTTGCTACTGTTTTGCCTTTTTTATTTATTCATTTTATTTTTTTTAACACTTTAAAATTTAATGAAACTATTTCAGTGGCGTGGGATGTACATTTTTCTAAGTGTTTGGTGCCTCCTGCTGGTTTCAGTGCTCCTCTGCCTCAATCAGCTGGGATATATAAATGCTGTGGTTTCTTATGCATAGGTACAAATTTTCAATTTTCCCTCCAAAGAAACTCCTTTTTATGAAAGATTAAAAACTGAAGCATGAGTAGCAATAGAGGGAATATTAAGCTACAACCCTTATATCGCACATTATAAAAATGATTCTTTTAACAGCTTCATTAAACTACTTTTTCAGCATTAATTTTCTTCAGCTGAAGTGCTAAAAAGGGTTTTTTTGTTTTTCTTTGATTAAAAGAAAAGTGAAAGCACAAAGTGTAAGATGGAAGCTAAATTGGTTTCTGCAGCACGGTGGCACAACTAGTAGAGCTGCTGCCTCTCAGCGAGCAAGGTCCTTGGTTCAAACCCCGATCCAGGGGCCTTTCTGGGTGGAGTTTGTATGTTCTCTCTGTGCATGCGTGGGTTTTCTCCCACAGTCCAGAAACATGCATGTTCGGCTGATTGGTAACTCTAAACTGTCCCTAGGTGTGAGAAAGTGAATGGTTGTCTCTGTGTCCCTGTGATGGACTTGCGACCCATCCAGCGTGTACCCCGCCCCTTGCATATTGATTGCTGGACATGGGCACCAGCGACCCTCGTGACCCAAAATGGAATAAGCGGGTAAAAGATAATAGATGGATGGTTTCTGCAGCAGCTCAGGAGTGGATAATTGCACCTGAAACATCCATTATATTTTTACCTGCTGCTTCCTTTTTGGGTCGTGGAGGTCACTGAGCCTTTTCATGAAGCAGGGAACTCCTTAGACAGATCACAAGTCCATCACAGGGACACAACCACTCGCATACAAGGACAATATAGTTACCAGCCTAACATGGATGTTTTTGGTCTGTGAAGAAAGTAGAGTACCCAGAGAAAACCCACGCATGCAAGGAAAGAACATGCAAACTTCACCCAGAAAGGCTGGGATTTGATCCGACAACCTTCTCGCTGAGAGGCAACAGCTATACCAACTGAGTCTTTGTGCCACCCCTCACCTGAAACAGATCCAAGAAAACAAATTCAATATCAACATTTACAGTTTAAAAGATAAAATAAGTTAAAGCTCTATTTCAGAGTATAATTTTTATTTTGGTAAAAAGGTGCATTCATCCACAACTTGACTGCTTTCTTTTAAAGGTATAGTTTGGTCATTTTTTTATGTATTAAATCCAGTGGCTATAGTTCATATTTTATCAGCAGTGACATCATTCTTAAAGCAAGCAGTTTAGAGATAAGAGCAAACGTTTTCATCCAGACTTGGAAATTGCAAGCCAAACAAGTGCCAGGTTTTTTATCATGTATGAGGCCTATGAAACACTCAGAAATGACATACCAGAGTGAAAGCTACATTATGTAATAAATGGTTACACTTTGCATGGCAATGCTTGTGTGAAAGGAATATATTGATCAGCATTCTTATGCATGCAGTATTATTTTCCTATATTAATATTTAATTGTAAAGGTAATTGTGAATGCTTTGGTATATTTGTTTGAGAATCAGGCATTAGTAGCAGCTGGCCAGACATGCTTATGGGACCCCCCATGAGTGATGTCATACAGAAATATAATAACGTGTAAAAGAAGTACTAACTCTGGATAACTACATCACCGAACATAATTTAAAAAATAACCCTGTTATACCTTTAAGTCTAAAATTATTTTCTACTTGTGCTGCAAGTGTGATAAATTCCATGATGCTGTAAACGCAGACAGCCAACTGTGTCTCTGTCACGTTTGTAATCAGGTGTGATTTTGCTTTAGGTTCGACCGGCCAGCATCTTTTCAGAAGCTGATGATGCAGCCAAAGACACAATGCTGTGCTTAGCAAAATCAGTCTCATTCATCAAGCAAGAAGTTAACTGCCACTGCTGCCACCGCCTCGCTGGTGTAAATCAACTGACAAATAAAAAAGACAAAAAACAAACAAGTGAAAACCTACAAGAGATCCATCATCATTTGGTCAGAGGGGAGGGCGCTCAGCTCACCACGGCAGAAATCACGACCAAGGCTGGCGATCAATCTTTCTTGTGCCACCTTGGTGTGAGTGCTGCACCGTATGGCCTGTTGGTGTGGAAAAAAGCTCATGAACATCTTAAAACATGGTCAACAGCTGCGACAGCTGCTGGGTGGCTGTCTGTGATTTCAAAATCTTCACTTTCTGCATTTGTATCTGTTTTGAAATGTAAAACGTTTAAAAATCACACTCAAGACTCGCATTTCCACAGTGGTTTTGGATCAGAAGAACCTGGTTTGTGCAGTTAGTGAAATCAAAGCTCATGCTCAATCACCCAGGCAGCCTCAGAAACTGTCCAGATGACCTGACTGAGCATTACTGGATTTGGTGCCTGGATGATGGAGTATGAACTTTGATGTCTTGAACCACTTTGGCTGTGGCTGTCTGACTGGGAGGAGTCGACGGGAGACAGGACAGCCCCCAGAAACCATCCTATCTCCAGCAAACTGGATGGTCCACTTAAGGAGTGTCCTGTTTAGTGGGGAAACAGTTTACTTGGGACTCCTCAGACTGATGAAGCCCTCTGGATAGAGGGTGAAACATCTCTACAAAAAGAAACTGTCCAGATGACCTGACTGAGCATTATTGTATGTACTTAGTGAGCCATCTTTGGGAATAACATTGTATAAAGCAGAATTACCATCTGCTATTTTCATTAAATTTGTCCAGTGATTCATGAGACATATTGTTAAGGTTACAGACGAATATACATATATTTTAATAATGTGTTATATGTTGTCATCATTGTATGTTCCCATACAATGGTGACATTGGCTTTGTATTTAACCCATCGCACCTGGGATACACTCAGGTGGTGCAGTGGGCAGCTATTGAAGGCACCTGGGGATAGGGTGTCCTGCTCAGAGACACCACGAGATGTGCAATGACTGGGGATTGAACCTGGAACTTTTGGGTCCCGAGTCAGCTGCCCTGCCTCTGCCCCATCTCATCTATGACCTAATTGGTGAAAATGTTTTGACATGGCAAAGTCTTCCAGGAAAGAAGAAAGGAAGGACATTTTTCAGCTCTTTAGATCATTTCAGCCTCTTCTCAACTGCGTTGTCTTTTATAACATAAAGAAAACCATTTTTTACATTTTTAATATCCATCAATTTATTTATATCCATCAATATTTCTATTTTATGTTTTCCTGTCTGCTGTGCATGTTTGTTTCTTTTGTACAGCACTTTGGTTGGCCTTGTTGCTGTTTTAAGTGCTATATAAATAAATTGGTATGGTATGGTATGGTATCAAGTGACGTACAACAGGCTTTCTCTTTCTATATAAACTGTGGAGAGAAATGCTTTACACACCACCTGAACAACATGAACGTCTGACCGGAGGAGTGTGATACAGTGCATTTTTTGTATATTTTTTATTTGTAACAATCTGTTTTTGGAGTTAGACCTATACGTATCTTGACTGATCACTACTCTCTTTGGGATGGATCTCTGTCAGCTTAATCATACCAAGTGATCACACCTGGTGAGGCAGAGTTTGTCAGGTTTGGATCTGTCTCTTCGCAGTGCCTGATTGATTGCACCTGAGAGGTAAGTGGGGAAAAAAAACAGCATAAATACAAGTGCATAATGTGAGTAATGTGAACTCACATATAGGTGAATTGTGTCTGTTGACGCATAAAGTTATAAATCTACAGGTCAGATCAGCACCAGTAGCTGGGCTGTTTGAGAGGTGCAGCTGCAGCAGCCATGCCTGCTGGGTTCCTCGTTACAAGGTAGTTTATTGTGAAATATATTTTTACATATTTCTATTTAAAGTATAAGTGCTGTTTATACTTAACTATGCATCTGTACTTGTAATTCCTTCAGACTACTGCTGGTTTGCTTGTTGAGTGAAGTTGAAAATGGCTTTTTTGCCACAGGTAAGCCTCATTTGACTAAATGGGAACTTTTTTTTTTTTTTTTTTTTTGTCAGGTGTAAATGCAGCCTATAAAAAAAAAAGTATACAAATTATTGTTCTTGAGTGATCACTATCTTTTGTAATTGTTTTTCACAGCACAACATGTGGCACAACCTCAAGAATGGCAAATTGTCGGAAACCCTTATGACTATTTTCTCAGTGTGCATCAACAGCCCATTCAGCATATGAGGCAACCTTATGAACAGAACAATCCCTGGATGAAGCTGCTTGAGGATTTAACAAAGAACCGTGATCACCCAGAAGTCGTCCACCAACCAAGTTTGCACCAACAAATCCAGAGCCCCTACAAAAGGACACCTCAAGTTCTTGTGAAATATCCAGATGGGGTATCTTCACAAAACCCTGCTGTGGAGGCTAAAAAAGTAGAATTTAATGTGAACATACCTCTTCAACAATTTATCAAAGGGCTCGTTTTGACAAAGAGAGGATCAGACATGCTCCGGGATGTCAAAGAGGGTGACTGGGGGAGCCCAGTTTTATACCAAGAAGGGGCTGGTGGTCCTTTCTGGTCTGAGCATAAAGGTTTGCCCAGGGACATTCTTAAAAGAAAACGCACCCCAGGTATCAACTTAAGATTTTCTGCTCCAGTACCAGTCCATCGAGACCGGAAGCCCAGTTTACATAGACCAGAAAATTTGGTCCACCCTTTCAGTCAGTCAGAGCTGGCCCAGAAGAGTTCACCTGAGTTTGGACAAGAGAGGCCCAACATGCATTATAGTCAAGGACCCCATCCCTCCTATGATCCAGCACACAATCTACAAATGGCTAAGTCAGACTACCCCTTGGCCTCGGCTAATTGGGGTCCAGTAAATTCTGGCTTTCAGCAACCAGCTCAGCAACCTGAGAGACAAACTCTGCAACAAGCACCACAGCAACTTCAGCCACAGCTGCCCAGCTTTCGTCAGATTTTCTCCACAGGGACCAAAGAGCCTTCAGTGTTGACCCGCTGGGCAGAAGAGATTGCCAAACAGCTCCCACATATTAAAGTGTCTATTGTAAATCCTGATTCTGGTCATGGAGATCCCTCAAAACAGGCCAAAGCTCCACAGCAAAGACCCCATGAAGGCAGCGGTGTCTTTCCACAAGTGAGGTGTTCACCTCCTATTCAGAACAATCGACCCAGACTGAGGGCGTTGTGCCCATGGCTCTTCAGGCCCTGCTTAACTTCATCTAGGCTTTCAGCTTAAAACTTTTGCTTTAATGTTTTTTTTTGTTTGTTTGTTTGTTTGTTTTTTACTTTAGTAAACAGTCTAAATTATTGGCACCTGGCTTTGTTAGTTGAGATTGGACCATTTTTGGTTTGTTAAAATTGTACAAGTGGATTTAAATAAAAAAAAATTAACTTTAAGTAAATGCTGCTTTCGTTTGTATTTGTATTACCAATTCAGAAATTCTAATTAAATACAACGTGGTTGTCGGTTTTGGGGTTAGGCATCCCATTTTCCAGTTCTAAAAGGATATCGAATGTGTGTGTGTGTGTGTTTTTTTTTTTTTTTTTTTTTTTTTTTTTTTTTTTTTTAAAAAGGCCTTCACACCATTTCAGTGTCTTCAAAAGTGATTTGAGCTAAATTACACAAAGTGTTAAATCTTGTCTATTTTTAATGAACCACATGTACTATTTCTCTGCAGCCAACTTTACAAAATCAATCCTTAAAAACTTAATTACCTGCCACCTCCATCAATCCCTAGGGTGTAAATCAACTGACAAAAAGTGAAAGTTTATTTTAAGATTAATCATTCAAGTATGATCAACGACAGAAAATATGACCAAGGCTGCTGAGCAGTCGGATGCATCACTGGTTCACCTTCGTGAGTGTAACATCCAGCCTATTGGACTGCAGCATAACTGATATTTTAATCTTGTGTCTGACAGATGTTGACAGCATGACTTTACACTGAATCAAAACCATGACCAGTGTTGGAGCAAACCTTTAAAACCATTTCTCATGTATTTCTCCATAAAAATACTCAGATTCAGTTGTCAGGAAGCACATTAGAACAAATCTGTTAATGAAGTATATTTAAATTAACCACAGGCCACTGTTTACATAAAGAAAATAGACTAAAATTCAAATCAGACAGCTGTGATAAAATGTTGGATATAAAATGCAAAATAATGCATTCTTGTATAATGTATAATTATTCCCACTGCCTATTTTAATAGTATTCTGATGCATGTTCAATAATCCAGGTAGAAAAAAAACAAAAGTTCAATCTGGTCCTGGACATTCAAAAAAACAAAACAAAGCAAAAAAAATGTAGATACGTTTCGTCTTCCTTCCGAAAGACAGACTGAGGAAGTCTTTTGGATGAAAGACGAAACGTATCTACATTTTTTTTTGCTCTGTTTTTTTTTTTTTTTTTTAATGTCCAGAGGACCAGATTGAACTTTTTTGGACTAATTTAATAATGATTTTCTGTTTTAAATTGAAATGGATAAAATGTACAATGCAAAAACCCAAGAGGAGTGAGTCATAATCAAAGTTCATTATACATTACCCATTATAATCTTCCTCTTCTTTCAGCTTTCCCATCTTCAGGGGTCACCACAGCGAGTCAAACTATACAACATAACTGGTCTTACAACTGTCTTGCAAACTTTTCCTTTGACCTTTGCTTCCACACTTTTATCGCAAATCACTCCTGAAACTTTTCTCCATCCACTCCATCCTGCCTGGACTCTCTTTTTAACCTCTTCACCACACCCCCCATTTTCCTGGACAGTGGACCCCAAGTACTTGAAGTCCTGCACCTTTGTGACCTCTGCTCCTTGTAGCCTCACTGTTCCACCAGCCTCCCTCTCATTTACACACACCAAAGTCAGTCAGAGTGATTTATTTGTCATGTGGTACATGTGGTGGAATGAAATTATGTACACAAGGTTCCAGTTACATCCAACAATAAAATGTAAAAGAAAAACCGTAATAAGATCTAAGATAAGAACTAAGAAAAACTTCAACTAAATAATACACTAAGCACTAATAACATAAAAACATATCGAACAGCAGCGCAAACATGAGTCTCTGTGAGTAGATGAGCACGCATGAACACAGCAACATGAAACAGATCAGCAGCAACATGATGTGATTTTTCACAATGAATATTCATCCATCCATCCATCCATCCATCCATTATCTTTACCCGCTTACTCCATTTTAGGTCACGGGGGTCGCTGGTGCCCATGTCCAGCAATCACTGTGCGAGGGGCGGGGTACACCCTGGACGGGTCGCAAGTCCATCACAGGGCCACATAGAGACAAACGAGACAAACAACCATTCACTCTCTCATTCACACCTAGGGACAATTTATAGTTGCCAATCAGCCTAACATGCATGTTTTTGGTCTGTGGGAGGAAACCGGAGGACCCGGAGAAAACCCACGCATGCACGGAGAGAACATGCAAACTCCACCCAGAAAGGCCCCTGGACTGGGGTTTGAACCAAGGACCTGCTCGCTGAGAGGCAGCAGCTCTACCAGTTGCGCCAACGTGCTGCCCACAATGAATATTCTGGTTAGATATTCATGAGTCTAACAGTCTCCAGGTAGAAGCTGTTCCTCAGTCTAGTGATTCTTCACGTAATGCTCCTCAACCTTCTGCCTGAGGGAAGCGGGGCAAAAAGTGTGTGTGCTGGGTGAGTGGGGTCCTTCATGATGCAGGTGACTCTCTTCCTGCATCTAGAGGTGTAAATGTCTGTGACGTTGGGGAGGCTGACTCCAACAGTCTTCTGTGCAGCTTTCACCACTCTCTGCAAAGCTTTTCTTTCTGCAGCTGTACAGCCTCCATGCCACATGTTGATGCTGGAGCACAGGATGCTCTCTCATGTACTCTGTCTTACTACGGTTGACTTTCATTCCTCTTCTTTCAAGTGCATACCTCGATCTCTCCAAGTTCTCTTCCACCCGTTTCCTATTCTCACCACAGATCAGATTATCTGCAAACATTATAGCTCAAGGGGGTTCCTGCCTGACCTCATTTGTTAGTCGGTCCATCACCAGAGCAAACTAGAAGGGGCTCAGAGCAGATCCTTGATGTAATCCAGTCATATCCTGCTATCCTCATACATGTCCTGTACCAGTCTAACATACTTCTCTGCCACTCCAGATTTCCTCATGCAATACCACACCTCCTCCCTCGGCACTCTGTCATATGCTTTTTTCTAAATCCACAAAGACACAATGGAGTTCTTTCTGACCCTCTCTGTACTTTTCCATCAGCATCCTCAAAGCAAAGATGGTGTCTGTGGTGCTCTTTCTTGGCACCTCTCGTCTAAGTCTAGCTTCCACAACTCTCTCTCAGATCTTCATTCTGTGACTCATCAACTTCATTCCCTTGTAGCTGCTACAACTCTGTACATCACCCTTGTTCTTAAAAATGAGCACCAGCACACTTCTTCTGCATTCCTCAGATATTTTCTCACCCTAAAATATGCCATTGAATATTGGAGTCAACAACCTCACTGCCATCTCTCCAAGACATTTCCAAATGTCCACTGGTATGTCATCAGGTCCTACTATCTTCCCCTTCTTCATTATTTTCATAGATTTCTGAATTTCAACCTCACCGGTCTTTTCTGCTTCCTGGTCCACACCTTAAATGACCTCTACTTTCATTTTCTTTCATTCTTTTAATTAATTAGCTCCTCAAAATACTTCTTCCATCTTCCCGTCATGCTCTCCGCACTTGTTAGAACATTACCATGCCTATATTTAACAAGCCTAACCTGTTGCACATCATTTCCAGCCTGATCCCTCTGTCTCACCAATCGGTACAAGTCCTTCTCACCCTCTTTAGTGTCCAACCTCCCATACAGCTCATAATACACCTTCTGCTTTGCCTTTGCCACCTCCCTCTTTGCTCTACATTGCATCTCCTTATATTCCAGTTTTCCCTATTCTGTCCTCTCACCGTCATTTCTTCTTGGCTAACCTCTTTCTTTGAATAGCTTCCTGCACTTCACTATTCCACCACCAGGTTTCCTTATCATCCATTCTCTGTCCAGATGACACACCAAGTACCTTCCTACCTGTCTCTCTAATTACTGTTGCTGTAGTAGCCCAGTCATCTGGAAGCTCTTTCTTACCAACCAGAGCCTTTAACAGCTCCTCTCTGAATTTGTCACAACATTCTTCCTTCTTCAGCTTCCACCAAATTTGATCTTCTTCTCTGATTTTATTCTTCTTCTTTTCTTCATAACAGTCATTCTACACACAATCATCCGATGCTCTCTGGCCACAACCTTACAGTCCCCAATCGTCCTCAGGTTTCCTCTTCTGCACAGAATGTAGTCTACCTGCATACTCCTGCCTCCACTCTTATGGGTCACTCTATGGCCCTCCCTCTTTTGGACGTGTTACAGCTATTTCCATTCTTTTGGCAAAATCTACCACCATCTCCTGGTTTCTTTCCTTGATACCAAACCTACCCTTCACTTCCTCAGCCCCTCTGTTTCCTTCACCAACATGTCCATTCAGGTCTGCTCTGATCACCACTCTCTCCTCTGGTAATACTCTCTATCACTTCACCCAGATCCTTCCAAAATTTGTCTTTTTCCCCTTTTACATCCAACCAATACCTAATGGTTTTCCAAATAATGATTGTTTTAAAGTTTTCTCAGTTGCTTTGAAAGTTTTTCATTAAGCTGATAAACATTTTTTTCCCCTCTAAGTCTTGGACATTAAAAAGACTGAGTCAAGTAATGAAAAATCAACTGAATAATTTCCATTCTTATTTTCAAGCCCTAAAGGAGAAAATGCAGTAACTCTGAGAATAAAGTTTTGGTTTATTCATACAGGGATCAAGTAGAAAACTTAAAATATTTATGGAACATAGCATTACAAACTGGCTCATTTTACACTGACAAAGGTTCAAAATATATATATTTTTAAATGAATCCGTCCATTCGTTAATTTTAAACACCTAACCAATTTCTGGGTACTGAAGGCAGCAGTGCTGAGAGAAAAGTCAAGACATCCCACTCTCCAGCTTCATCAGATGAATCCTGAAACTTTCCCAAGCTGGTTCCAGCAGGGTTTATGTCTTCCCTGAAGTTTCCACCTGGAAGGACCCCTCTATGTAACTATCACATTACTGTTATGGAGGGGGTCGTGTATCTTATGAACCTGACACTTCAGACATTTACATCTGAATCAGATCCCAGTAGGGCCAGTGGAAGATTGGTCTCAGGGGAGAGGTCAGGCAAAAATCTATTTGAAGATGTCAGTAGAACAACATAGTTTTGAACTGGTTATCTCATCTGGAACAGGAATGGAACATGAAAACTGGAACTCAAATCTGGAGCCAAGCCTGGGGAGGCTCGCTGATGAGCACCAGGTGGCCAACTTTGATATTTTGGACATGGTCAGGCTCAGCTTGAAATTTTTTCAGGATGGCTCCTCCATGTATGTCCACCACCTGCAGGGAGCTAAATCAAGGTTTGGTACAGTGTAAGCTGAGTAGCATGTGAGGATAAACTACTGCTGCAAGTCTCATTTAAAATCCCATCAGTGAACACTTTTTGACGTTGAATCCAATACAGAATCTTTTGCATCAACTGTTTAATTCTAGCATAAAAAAATATGTTTCAATAAATCATTCATTTCACTGTATTCTCTGTATTTCTGTATTTTTAAGAGGATCTGCTAACACATAAAGCTTTGGAAAGAGTTGCTTTGTTCTGATCTTAGTATGATCATTATTGAAAAAAAACAAGTGAGCTGTAAAAATATGCAGTACATTTTAAAACATAAATACAAGTTGTGTATAAAAAGGATTCAAATAAAATTAGTTTTTTTGTTTAGAATGAGTGCAAAAAGTCTCAAAATAACAGCAAAAAGAGTTCATATAATGAAGTACACACATGGCAAGCCAGGAAAAGTAACATTCAGCTCTTCAATGGGAAAATCAGTTGCTCAAGTTAGAATCACTATTTTACATTTTTATTAGTTTTTTTTTTGTTTTGTTTTGTTTGTTCGTTTCTTTGTTTTTTCAGAGGATAGTTCAGTTCTGTGCCAAGGCAACAAGACAATTAGATTAAGTGGCCACACCTGAGTGAGACAGGACTTGGGCTGGGTTTTTGGGTTGGTTTTTTTTTGGCACTTATGCACACCTCCCTGCAGTACAAGACACAGAAAAGCCTCCACACAACCTTGATCCTTGATTGTGATAACTGGGGAGTGGATTGGAAGAGGCTTTAGATTATTTAGGGCTAAAACTGACAGGGCAGCTCGGCACTTGTAGCCGGAAGGTTTCAGAGGACATTTGCTGAGTGCAGCAGTCATGGCTGCTGGCTTCCTGATTTTAAGGTACCAAGTCTGAATGCAAATATACTGGCACCATTGAAGACGGAGTGTATAAAGATGAAATATCTGTTTACTGGTAGTTAAAATTTGATGAGATTTTGTATTCATTGTATTTATTTTTATCGTTTTACAGATTGTTGCTTTTTTGGATATTCAGTGATGCAACACACTCCTATTTTTGGCCGAAAGGTAAGCCTGACCTTCATGTTGTATTAACCTTACAAGTTAACAGTATCTTAAGGTTCAAATAAACCCAGTGGTCCTAAAATCACAAAGATGGATTTCAGGTTAAGTTTATGCATTAAGGCCTGTAAAGCCCTGGGAAATGTGGGTTTTTAAAATGTTTAGTGAATCTTAACATGCCATCTCCAGCTCACTTTTTTTTTTTTTTTTTTTTTGTCAGCCAGACTTGCTTGTAGATGAGGCTTTGCAGCAGCTTAAACCTTGTTTGACTTTAGTTTGCAGTAGTACTTTATCTACATTTTTACTAAAGGATTTTCCCCAACTAGTTTGTTTTGTAATCAAGTATTATGCAAATAAAAGGGGTGTAAGCTCAATCATCCAGGTAGATACAACAAAAAAGGTTAAATCATGTCATCTGGACTGGTTTCTTTAAGTGAGAAACATGTCGTCCCTTATTCGGAGGACTTTGCCGGTCTGCGGCCCAGCCTGCCAGCCAGATCTGTCCCATAGATGGTCTTCATTACTGTTCCAAGCCAACCTCCTGTTGGAATCTCAAAAGTAGGCTTTTAAAAAAAAAAAAATAAAAAAAAAAAAAAAAAAAACCTAATTCAAACCGGACACTCTCTCGTCCAATCATCATGCATAACAAATCAAATGTCTTAGGCCAGACTGTGGACTTTCTACTCACAGAAGCAATCTGAGGAGAACCAAGGCCAAAGTGGTTCAGAAAAAAGGTTTGTGAGTGCAATCATCCAGGTGGATGATGACGACAAACAAAAAAAATGTATAGAATCAAAACATTTGTTACGTGTTTTTTTGTTTGTTTGTTTGTTTTGTTTTTGGATGGGTGTGCCCTGTTTACATGTTTTTTTTTTAAAAACCTACTTCTGAGATTCCAATGAGAGGTTTGCTTGAAACACAGCAATGAATACCTATGGGACAGATCTGGTTGGAGTGATGGAAGACCTCCGAATGAGGGGACGAAACCTCTCAAACTGGACCAGATGACACTTTTTTTTTTTTTTTTTCCCCCATTTTATTCATTTTTAATTGTCAATGAGCAAAGAAAAGTCAAATTAGCAGCTAGTCTGATGCAGGTCCATTGATTTTACAACTTCGTTCATACAAACGTAACCTTTTTTTTAATTATTATTAAATTTTGTAGAGCTTGTACTTAATCAGAAGATCATTTAAACTGCAAACTATTGAAATATGGTTTGGTCCAGCTGAAAGACATTTTCCATGTGGAACCTGTTCCAATAAAACTTTTTGTAGATAACTTGTAAGTGGTTGCAATGGCAAGGTGGCAAGAAAATAGTTGTTTAAAATGGCAAGAAATTAAGAATTGGTTATTTTGAATATTTGATCTTAATTTAACCATCCTAGCATTTGTCTTGGCTCACCAAAAAGGTTCCAGTTCCCCCAACTGGCAGCTGAAGTTTACTGTAGTTGTCTTGTATAAAATTTTAAAAAAAGTAAATAAAAATAAAAATCCTGATTGTGACAGATGTAAACTTAAACCTTAGCATTTGTATATTCCAGCATGAATTCCTTGCTTTTACCTAAATTGATTCCACCAGCAGTCACATGCTGAAGTGTTCCTGGGCAAGACGCTGAACCTCCTCATTGCCTCCGACTGTGTCCCATCGGTGTATGAATATGATTTAAAGCACTGATTATTCTTTATAGAAATCTAGTAGTGTATGAATGGGTAAATTGAGGGCACAGATTGTGTTGTAAAGAGCTTTGAGTGTCTTTATAAGATAGAAAGGCATTTTAAGTGCAGTCCATTCAGCTGTGCCACCTTCACGTTGGTAAACGTATGTAAACTGCATGTCCAACAGACCTCAGCCTCCTTCCCTGAAACAAACCATGTTTCAGAACTCATTAGCCATGCTGTGCCTTTTTGAGAGGCACAGAGATGTGGTGGCATTAATAAATCAGCAGTTTATCACATCGCTAAAGACACATTTTTGGCAGCTAACAAGAGGGCTAATGTCCTGATGCATGCTCAATTATCCAGGTAGAAAAATCCAAAAAAGTTCAATCTGGTCCTCTGGACCAGAGAGGGCTAATTAATGCTTTAGCAGAAAGGAAGGAGGGGAGCGCAGCTGAGGGCCTGGGTTTGAATTCAAGGAGGGAGCCACGTGGGAGAAAAGGCAGGATTTCGAAGTATAAAACAATAGTTTTTCTACCGATGGTCTCAATTTATATCGCAAAAACAAATTATCTTTTTAAGGTATCGCCCAGCTCTAATTTGCAGTTTTTCAAAATGTTAAATACAGTAACCACAATTCAACCTAATTAAAGATCAGAATACAGTATTGCATCTGAACTGAAAGCTGACTTGAGTACTTGTTCTTGCAGACAATTCTGGATATCGTACAGCTTTGCAGGATGGAGGACACAAACGGGTACCTCTCTATGGGAACCGTCGCCCTCTTCACTATGTCCAGACTCTGAGGCAGCCACATGCAAACCTGCAGCCTACTGTACACATGAAAACATGGCAAAATTCCCAAGATTTTATGAGGACTCTGGGTAATTCCCAGATGCAAAGGCAAATGAGACCTCGTCGACCACAAATGTTCCTACCCCAAACTACACCACAGAGAGGCTATTCTGCACCCCAAAGAAGCTATTCTTCACCACAGGATGGCTATACAATAGCTCGCCCTAAAAGTTTTCAGATAAGCTTAGATATTCCTTTTCTTAACCCTGAGAATCAAAACAAAATTACTGATTCTGTTGCTGAAGGTTACGATTATGGAAATTACAATTATGGAAATTACAACACTGAAACGAGAAAAAGGCCAAGTACTGTTCAGCATGTTAGCGGTTTTGAAGCTTCTCAGCTTGTTGATCCTGGAAACAAAGATTCCACAAAGTACCCACATGGAAAAAAGACTAATGAAATTCCCATGTCCAGCATCCAACTCAACTTTACCATTCCCCTTTCAGCTGAGTCTTTGAATCCTTCAAAAAGCAAAATAGGCCATGATGCAGGCCCAGCAAAACCATTTAATATATTTGTACAGAATGCATACGTGAAACCAGAAAAACAAAAATGGCCCTTTCTTAACCGGGTAATGCAGGAACCAACCCAGCAGCAGACTGGAGCAAAATGGCCAGACCACAGTCGGGTGGCACAAGAACCAACCCAACAGCAGACTGGAGCAAAATGGCCAGACCACAGTGAGGTGGCACAAGAACCAACCCAACAGCAAATGGGACAAAATTGGCCTGACTACAGTCGGGCGCCACAGGAACGAACCCAACAGCAAACTATAGCAAAATGGCCAGACCACAGTCGGGCGGCACAGGAACCAACCCAACAGCAGACT